GAAATATATGATGAATGTTCCAAGTGAATCAAAATCTACCACCATCCCAGATCCCTGCAGCCTCCTCTTACTAGCACTTGGAGGGCCTTATCTACCAATTGTCTTCTGAGTTACTCTGTCAAATGTTGGATACTCGTAAACTTTCCTGCCCCATGTCTTCCTTGATGTTGCCAAGACGACACTTCTCCCCAGTCCAGCCTACTCCACTTTTCTTTGGCTTGTACCATGTTGCTCTTTAATTCTGACTTGAGCTTTGTCTTTAAAGAGAGTTGGGTTATGTCTTAGCTCAGATACTTTAACAAAATATCATAGACTAAGTGGCTTAAACCACAGACACACACTTATGTTTTAAAGTGTTGGGGGGAACTGCAAAGTCCAAGAAAACCGACAAGTTCTTGAGGGGATTTTGTATGACTTTTCCTTGGGAGATGTGAAGAGACATCTACCCATCACACATAGGGCACTGACAACAGAAAAAAGAAACAGTTTCTGCCAAATCTAGCTCAGTGAGCTAGTGCATTTATTGAGGTTACTTTGGGAGCATCCATGATGCAGAGGCAGCTGATTCACTGTAAAGGCTGCCTAGTATGAATGGGAACTCACAGAAGCAGTTATCACAGGGTCTCCCACAACATCCAGACCGCTCCAACGAGTAGTCTTCTCTTCTACATGATTATTTACTGCACATATTACCCTGGGGGAAAGCCTTGTGGGTGTAGTAAGTTACCTTAACTTGCAACCTTCGTGTAGTAAAGAAATGCTTCTGTAATGATAAGTCTTTACATCACCTGCCTGAGTTCCACCACAATGTTAGGACCCCCAAAATAACATACAGAGACTTACATTAGGTACAATGCTGCTGGCCAATGACTAGGATTTCTTATATGCTAACTCAGTCTTAATTACCAACCATAATCATTAATCTATATATTTGTGAAACTTATCTTATGGAGGATGCCAGTGGAATGTGTCCTGTCTTCCTAGGATCACATGGATGGTTCCTCAGAGAGGAGGAGGAAGAGAATGACAGCCTGCTTGTTCCTGCTTATATTCTGAGTCTGCCTGCTATGTCACTTCCTGCCTGGATCACAAGACTTATATTTACTACATTTCTCAGAATCCTCCTTGACTCCTAGTCCTGCCTAACTTGCTTCCTCATTGGCCAACAGTACTTTATTCAACAACCAATAAGATAAACATACACAGAAGGAAGCCCCATGGTGCTTCCACGCAGGAAATAAGCTGCTTGCCAGGGTTCTTCTCCTGGCCTGCCAACAGGCTCTTTTCTTATCATTGTCTCCTTTATGTGGCAAAGAGGAAGGGAAAGGATGGTGAGGAGGGATGGAATGAGGGAAAGCAGAAGCGCTCTTCCTTTAGCATCACAAATAATTTCATTACTCTCAGACCTCATCTGCCCAATGGTCTCTCAAAGGCACCACCTCTTAACGCCCCGTTTAGAACAAGAAGCATTTGCACTTCAAACAAAGGTTTCTATATATTGTGTTTATAATGCACCAGGCAGTGATTGAGTACTGTTCACACACATGGGCTCATTCAGCCCTCATCATAGTTTGAGAGGTAACTGCTATGATTATACATCACATAGAGAAGAGGGCACAGGGCACTTGAGCTGTTTGTGTCAGTCATATGAGTACCAGGTGTCAGAGCTACACTATAATTCATCTTAGGGCAAATACTGTCAATGTTCTTTTCTTTTTTAGATTTAAATCAATTTATTGATTTAAAGATGAGGTATAAATAACACAATATTTTTTGTTTTCAAATAATATTTTCTTTTATATTTAGAGAATACTTTATTAGTTTTTGTAATCAAACCCACGTAGATAAGATCTTACATATTTAATACAGTGCGTTACCCCTGTACGCTGTCAATGTTCTTAACCGTAGTTCTAAATAATCTTAATCAACACCTTCCTAAATGTTTTGTAATGGTAGATTTAAAAGTTGAAGACGGAGCCTCTTCCTCCTTCATTTTGTTTCATGATAGCCCTGAGCTTAGGATAGGTGTTTGCTCTGGGAGCTTCTGTTTATGGACATGATCTGTGGTCACTACCACTGCTATCATCAAACTTCTCAGAGGTTGCCTTCAGAGTTTGTGTTGGTTGATTTGACTTGATGGATTTGTCTTGATTCTCTGAAGTGTTCACTTCTGTTGTCCTTTAATTCCTGATCTGAAGTGGTCAATATATGAACCGAGGTAAAATCCAAGAGTACCAGCCCAAGATTCCTGGCATGCTAGAAACATTTACTGCCAGGGATGCACCACTCTCTACAATCAAAGCCAAATCATCTGGCCCCTTCTTTCCACACTACCACAGTGATCTGACTAAATAAACAGGAAGCATACAGAACATTGGCCAAATGTGAGCTCTCCAGCCAATACCCATCCTCACAAGCTTTCTGAAATCCCCAGTGCTGTTTCACCCTTGTTTTTAAGCTGGGGCAAGTCCACCTCAGCAAATTAAAAGCTGATGTTACTTGTTCTGGTGAATTGTGAATATTCTCTAATACCTGAAACGTCATCATGCAACCTTCTTTTGGGCAGGTTTCATTATTTTGAACTGTGAGGTAGTGCTACAGTGTTTTACTACAACCAGAAGAACACACATATGTATTGAAAAGTAAATCAAATCATTGCATATAAATAAGCAAGGTGTTTGCTGCAACTCATTACCTAACATGTACCTCAAATTCCTGGAGATGGCTGCCCATGGGAGGCAGCAGAATTGGCTTTTGGTTTCCTAACAAAGTACCCCATCATAGAAGAACACTTGGTTTTTAGGGTGCCAGATTGCTACAATTAGGTAACATGTTGAATAAATGAATGTATTTTATCAGTGCAAATTTCACTGCATTTCGTAGTTCTGACACAGGTAGATACAGAAATGCTATGAAAGCTTTAACTGTTTTTCATTTTTGTGTGACTTGAATTTTTAATATTTCTATAAAATATGAATCTTAAATATGTGTATATCTTTTCTTCAGATGCCAGATGTGACATAAATGTTTTTATCTTATGTGTGTGTTGATAGTGGATCTTGACTGGAACTGGCCTCTTATTGAGAAGAATATAATTCTGTTTGAGTCTAAACCCTGATCATGCAATGTATGCAATACCCACTTAAAGGCTAGAACTAGGAATTGTTTTGGAGAGTTAAAAAAATTTCAGCTCTTTAGCTTTCTTTTGGCACAATAGATGTCGCTTGAAGGCAGGTAGGCTTAGTGACATCTGTGACCCCAAACCTTTATGGTGTGCAATTCAAGTTTCTGTGTTTGTTTCCTTTTTTCATTGTTTCTTTCCCTTCGCCTTCTCTATCCCATCCTCTCTTTGGGGATCTAATTCAGGGCCTTGTATATTCAAGTGTTCCAGGCAGTTATTCTGTTACTGAGGTATATTCTCCATATCCATCTGTCTTAAGCAATATTTCTATTACCTCATCTCTTCCCACCATCAAATCCTCCAACTATAATAACCTAATAGCCATTAGGTTAACGTGGGTTTGTTCAAGTTATCTTTGATGGACATTCTGTGCATGTAGCCTAAGCTGTTCGATTAGATGATTTTTTCCTAGTAAAGACTCTCTTCTCCCCACCCCCAAGAGCTCAGATTTGATATTGATGAAGTTTGTTTTTATCATTTAAGAAAATCTTCTACTAAAGGCATCTGTTTGATAATGCAAGAATCCAGTTAGATATGGCAAGTACTCTGTCTCTGGCTGATACAATGAAAAGGAGTATTTGGAAGAATATTGGAAAAATTGAAGAAATCAGGGCATGATGTAGTCCCTTGTCATTCTTAGAGCAAAAAACTGACAGCTGTTGCATCTTGGGCAGACCAATCGGAGCATCTTGCAAAGCTCAGTTGTTCAAATGACCAAAGCCATTTTAGGCAATCATCCACTCAAGGTTCGAGGTTCTTCTGAAAAAGTCCATTTGCTATAAGCTTAAATCAGGTGCCTGTTCCTTAATGGGATGATTGACAGGCCACCAAAGATGCACAGAATCTGTGAGGAGTGTTTCTAAAGAAAAAGAGGATAGCCCTACTGAATCAGGGAAATGGGTAAGCAAACAGATGTCTACTTGCAGGGAAATTAATCTTAAGTCACACTAGGTGTAAATAAGAGCTTGGAAGTGCACTGTGAGTGATTTGAATATCACCTAAATTAAATAACCAAGTTATTCCTCTTGATGGAAAAAATATCAGTAGCCTAAATACACCAACAATTGTGAAAATTCATTTCTTGATTACATAAAACATATTTTCAACTTTCCAAACACAGAAATATAACACAAATTTACATTGAATCATCATCCAACCTTAATGGCTGGCCTTGTGAAAATCCTCTTTCTTTTGGTTGCATTTTAGAGCTGCTTGAATAAAAGCTCACAAGATTTCCTGTTTGAAAACTTCTTTTAGAAATATAAATTCAGGTGTCAGTCTATCTTAGACTCATACACAGAAACAACAAAAGGTAGCTTTGTGCAACAGCAATACATTATTTATCTGGAAATAGAATTTATTTTTTTAAGAGCTAGGGTTTTAGTTTAATAGTCGTGTTCATTTAATACACACAAGGCCTTTGCACAGAAATGGTAACAACCACCATGATTCTTATCCAAGTCCAGTGTGATGGCTCATATGTGTAATCCCAGCACACAGGAGATTGAGGTAAAGGTTACTGTGAGGTTAAAGCCACCATGAAACTACACAGGGAATTTCAGGACAAGCTAGACTACAGTGTGTGATTCTTGACCTCCCCCATAAAAAACAAAAAAAAATGTTTCTTTTATTATGTTTTTTTTTTCTAGCTTAAGCTTGATGAATAGATTCCTTAATAAGTCTGTTTTCAGGTTACCTCTGCCAAACACATCAGATCCTTGGGGTCTTGGAATGAATCAGAAGTTCTTTTGACTGTAAGCATTGCATGTTAGTATATACTTGCATTGTGTGAATCTCAGTGTGTTCTGATCTCTTGCAGTTGAAAGATGCATGAGTGTAATGCAGTCCGGGACACAGATGATCAAATTGAAACGTGGCAGCAAAGGGCTCGTTCGCCTCTTTTACCTGGATGAGCACCGGACCCGCCTCCGATGGCGACCCTCTCGGAAGAGTGAGAAGGCAAAAAGTAAAAGCACCCTTTGATTTCTTTGCTTTGATTAGCAGAGTAATATATGGATAATAACATGGGAAGTGATGAGTAGGCTCTGTAGATGCTTCAAATCTGTGAAGCTGTCCCACTTTTACAAGTTTGGGGTCAGTTGATCATAAAACAATAAATGATAATTATCTTTAAGGAATGGAAATCCATGAAGGCTTTCTTGTCCATAAATGTTGCAAATCCTAATATTTCCCCTATGTTGGAGATAGGCCATATTTTAGATTTAATTGGGATATTAGGTTTCACTGCTTGTGACTTTTCCTATAAAAGGTAAGGGATATTATAAACACAGTGGTCTTTAAAGTCTATTGCATCTTCCAAGCAATCAACTAATCCATTAATTAACAACAGTGTTTAAATGGTTAAAGTTTATTTCCCCCATCTGTACTATCTGTACTATCTGTATATCTGTAAATATATTAGTACAGATGTATCTGTACATCTGTACTAATATATATATATACTATCTGTATATATATTACTATATATACAGTATATATCTGTACTATATCTGTACTATCTTGCCAGGATTGTTGTCGAGAAACAGCAGTAGCAGATGGATATTTACTTGGGTAGACACAGTTAAATGAGATTTGTAAGTGGAAATGACTCGTGTTTATGGAGGTTAAGCAGTGCCATGATGTATGTACCTACTGCCAGCTGGAGAAGCCCAGAAATCAGTGATATGGCTCAGCCCAAGTCTCAGGGCCTAAAACCAGGGGAAGGGATGGTGTGACTCTCAGTTTTAGGGTCAAGATCTGAGCTGTCTGGGTTCTGTAGATTCAAGTCCCATAGTCCAAGAGCCCTAGTCCATGAAGTTTTCATATCATTGGACAAGAGATTAATGTCCCAGCTCCAGGCGGGAGAAAAATTCATTTTTATCTTCTGTCTTTTGTTTTTTTTTGTGGGCTGTTTGCTGATTGGATGTGGCCCACTCCTGTTGCGTGAGCATGACTCTTCCTTATTCAGTCCATTTATTCAAATACTGTTTTCTTCAGGCTAACTCTCCTAGACATACTCAGCAATGATGTTGTCTCTGGTATCTGGGAATCTCTTTATCAAGTATGTTGGCACTGTAACTGTTATACATACCTTCTGGATTTAGCACCAAGTTCTTGTTGGATTCCCCTATAATAGCTCTCATCAGCTCAATGCTTTCTGTTTTATGTAAACATCATTGGTTGAAAATCTCTTTGCCCTTAACAAGACCAAGCATGGGTCGGTTTATTTCTTAGTCTGTTCCCTGTACTGTTCTTGGCTCTGTCCCTGGTGCTGACATTGCAATCAAGGCAATAGTAACATGAATTCAGCTATGCCAAGCCACACAATAAAAATGAAGAAATAGATAAAAATTCCCTCTTTCTCCTCATCTTCCTCTTCTTCCCCCTTATCCCAGTGGCTTAGATCTGCCATGACTTTTTCTGATGTGGAGCATCAGCTGATTTTCCTGTGAATCATGCAGGGAATGACTTGATGCCAAAGTACAACTAGGACCCAGACCATGAGATAGAATTAGTGGTAGGGTAGATGGCAGTCAGTAGGATATGGAACATTCCAGATTCTTTCTTTAAAATACACATGCAGCATGGGCAAAAAAATAGTACTTCTCTGGTGCAATTCTTAAATGTCTTTCTGTTAACCTTGCTGAATGATGTGAATCCCTGCCTGCTAATCTCTAAGACCCCAGCCCTTTTCTACCTCTCCAGCTTCATCTCCCACTATTCTGTCTTCTGAGCATTTCAGGACAGCATCCTTGCAGTGGGCCCTGGTTTCTCTCTGTCACCCACTTTCCCAAGCCACACTGTCCTTATATTTCCCCCGTGAGTCACATTAAACTATGCTACTTCCTTTCTATGTTTGTCTTAAATATTTCACAAAACAGCATTCAATTCTGTTTGTGCAGATTTCCTGACATAAATATGTAGAGTGAATTTGAAATCGTTATTAGCCACCTTTTCTACTAGTCTTCTTGATGTGATAGGCACATCTGTTTCTTTCCTATAAATTTCAACACACTATTAGTAATTGCCTTGGGAAGACATTGTCAAGAATGCCCCAAAAGGTAAATCCTTTGAGGCCAGCTTTGCACATTTGGTCTTAAGAAGCACCACTTATAGACAATGAATGTTTTCTTCTTTAAAATGCTTTTAAATGATTTTGCATTTCTTGTTTCTTAATCACTACAGATAAATGTTTTCACCCGCCATATAACTATATGTCTCACTTCCTTTACAGTACTTATTGACTCCATCTACAAAGTCACTGAGGGCAGGCAATCTGAAATATTCCACAGACAGGCTGAGGGGAACTTTGATCCCAGTTGCTGCTTCACCATCTACCATGGCAACCACATGGAGTCCCTGGACCTCATTACCTCCAACCCAGAGGAGGCACGAACCTGGATCACAGGTCTCAAGTATCTGATGGCTGGTATCAGTGATGAAGACTCCCTTGCCAAGAGGCAGAGGACCCATGACCAATATCCTTCCTAGAACTTAATGCTTGATTTGTATGCTTGTGTGTGCCCCTGTTTGCATGTGTTCACATGTATGTGTGTGTGGTATGTATGTTGTTTCTTCCCATAACTATGAGGTCTGAAGCATCTCTGCTTGCTGTCTGTTTCCTGTCTTTTGAACTGTCCTCTGTCCTTTTGCTCTCATTCCCAGGGCATGAATAAATAAAACTAAAGAGACATAAACATGTGTGAACTCAGAAGCAGCATTCTGAAGAAACTGGATGTAGCTCCATAATCAGAGAGGTCCCCTATTAGATGTGATTGCGCTTTTATAATGAGATGTTCATGAGCTGTAATTGGGGGAGCATTAATTTGGATTATAGAAAATCCTGGAATGTCATAAATTCAGTTTAATTTAACAAATGCTTTTTGGGTTCTGATTAATGTAATGTATACCAAGTTCCTCTCAGCTTTTTTCTTCTTTTGAACTTACAGCATGGGTAGGTTCTTCCTATCACACTTACCCTCTCTAAAGAGTTTGAGAAATGAGAGTCTCCATCTGGTCCCTTTTCTTTTTTTTAATTTAAAAACTACATTTTGTACATTTACTGTTTGAAATTTTCATACATGAATATGTGTTTCGATTAAATCTATCCTTTACATATCCATCCTTTAGTCCATTCCCAGACTTCATATCCTCTTTTTTTAAAATCCACTTGAGCTCATTTGATGATGCTACTAAGTACTCAGGTGTAGGGCTATCCACCGGTACATGGGCAACTTCTCAGGGGCCACATCTGAAGAAATTGAACTCTATCTCATTCCAAGCCATCAGTTGCTGATAGTTCTTCAGTTTGGTCGGAACTTTGTGAGTCCTTGTTATTTGTGCTTGCATTTGGCTGGCTTGATCTTGCATAGGATTCGTGACTCAATCATAGCCTCTGTGAATTTATGTGTGTAATGGCCCTGTTACGTTTGGAAAACACTGTTTGACAGTAGTCATCTACTATCTCTGGCTCTTAAAATCTTTCTACTCCTCTCAAATGAGAGTAGAGCCTCAGGGGAAGAGGATGTGACACAGGCGTCTCGTTTAAAACTGAGTGCTCCATGCTGGGCAGTGGTGGTGCACGCCTTTAATCCTAGCACTTGGGAGGCAGAGACAGGCAGATCTCTGTGTGTTTGAGACCAGCCTAGTCTATAAGAGCTAGTTCCAGGACAGGCTCCAAAGTCACAGAGAAACCCTGTCTCAAAAAACAAAACAAAACCAACCAGCAAACCAAAAAACTGAGTGTTCCCCATTCTCCACATTTGACCAGTTGTCAGACTCTGTTTTAATAGCTGTCTACTGCAAAAAAGAAGCTCTCTGATGGGGGTTGAGAGGGGCACTCATCTATAAAGACAAGTATCTAGAAGGAAGTTTAATACCATGTCTACTTAGCAGACTAATAGTACCAGGTTCTTCCTTAGGGAAGGCCCAGGTTCTTGGTCCAGTTAACAGTACCAAACATGAGTTTTGTCTTGTAGAATGGGCCTCAAAATCCCAACAGAAAGCAGTTGGTTATTCTCTAAACATTCATGTCATTGTAGCCTCAATGAAACATTCATGTCATTATAGCCTCAATGGATGTATTTTGCCACCATTCTGATTCTTGATGAGACCTATTTCTGGGGTCCTGCCCTGCTCATGTTATAATTAATGTACTTGGTCTGAAGACACCTTCCTGCTGGGGTAGAACTGATCATGTTCTGTGGTCTTTCTGACCTCAATTCCTCTGCCTGTAAAGTGAGGGTATTTGGCTACTCTAGGTCTGTGGTTCCCTTCTTTATGCCTTTGATAGTGTTAAAGTATATGTGCTTGGTAAGGGAGAATGCTACATACTCATGTTAGACTCCTTCTTGCCACCACCACTACCATTATCACCACCATCATCATATGCAGGAGTATAGAAAAATTTATACTTATTAGCTATATAGACCCACACATAGGATACTGTTGGAGTAGAATGGAACAAATAGCCCGGGAAATGATTTCAATGACATGAAGTCTGAGCTGATGAGCCACACAGTTTTCATCTCTATTCACAGCAAGCAGGCGAGTGCAAGTGGGATTCTTGAAAAACGTTAAAACATGGAGCTAACTATTTTTGCCTTGGGTCTGTTGGTTTGACATTTGGCGAAACAGAATAAATAAGAAAAACCCAAGTAAGCGACAATATGGAACAGTGGCAGCACTCTGTGGCACAAGCATCAAAAGCCATGTTGATGGGTTCTTGATAAAGACATGCTTTCTTGACAGTGAGAGCTCTAAGATGGGCATTTCCAGGGTGGGGTTAGTTGTGGCTCAGTGACATCATCAGAGACCCAGTTCTGCTTCCCCAACATGTGAGCTTGGTCCCTCAGCTGGCAGGCTACCTCTTGGTCAAAGGAGATATAATGTCTTTAGGTGGCAGTGCCAAATACAGTCCTGTCCAGGGGAACAGCATTTCATTTTACAAATGAGACAGAGGAGAAAAAAGAAAGCCTTTCTAGAAGTATCTCCATAGATAACCTTGATGAGAATTCCTATTGCAGGCCAATCCCTGCTTGAAAACTGCCATGATGCTTTGTTAACATGAGGTATATAATGATATTTGTCATATTAGAAGCTAACTGTGAGCACTGAAAAATTGTTTGTTTAAAATCATAGTAATTTTTAGTACATTTAATGTACTATAGAATGACTATTCTTTTTCAAACAGACTTGAAGGATCCTGTTGCTTCACTACTTTACACGATTCTACAATGTTGGATGCAAGAAAGCACACGAGTTTCTGCATTTATTTTGTACTTAGCCTGTATTGATTTGGTGGCTTAAAGTATATGAAAGAAAATCCAGCCTCACACAGACAGGCTGTGAAATTTGGAGACTGTGTCATCAGAGACACTCAGGCATGTACTCTGAGCATGGCTGGGTTAAGTTCAAGATTCATCTCTTTTCCATCAGTGGCTGATCACCTTTAGAGCATATGACTGGTGGATACATTAATATAGTTGAGGTTCTGTATGAAACAAGGAAAAACAATGGTCACAGGGAGAACGATCAGTTCTGGAAGCTGTGGTCTACACCGGTTAATTAGAACCTACTTGAATATCCCAGAGTCTTTAGCCCAAAGGTCAGAGTCACAATTCTTGACATTCTGGTAAAAGGTGGGCACAGACTGCAGGGTCATCTTCTTGCTTTATTGGTCAGTGGGGTTTTCTGTTTTTGTTAAACTTAATGCATTTACGTTTACTGTCACTTGAAGGTATTTGTAATTGAATTAGCATGGGAGCAATCTTACAAGACACTTAGAGATAGTTGGTGTTTGTGCCAATAAGGGAAGGGATAGGGAAGAAGAAATTAATAGATAGTAAGAAAAATAGTGAAAAGTGGGTAGAGGCGGGGAACTACTCTTCAGAATTGACAAGGTTTTAAATAATTATGTTGGAATTAACTGTTTTTACATTTATTTTCTTGTGTATATGACTGTGCATATGCCTATGCATGTTCATACTAAGGTGAGAGTATGGAGGTCAAAGGTCTGCCTGTGGAAGGTAGTTCTTTCCTACATGTGGGTTGCAGGGATTGGACTGAGGTCATCAAAGGTTGACAACAAGGACTTTACCTGTTGAGTCATCTCTCTAGCTGCAAACTGACATTCTTGGTTGGACATATGTTTGATCAGGAGAAAGGATGTAGGATGCTTACTATTAGACTTCACTTAGGACTTAAACTTTTCATGAATAAATAATGAGTATAACAAATCTTAAGTAGCCGAAGGAGAAAAATCCATCTACCTAGGGCATGAATTGAGTTATTTTGGTATTATGGTGGGTTCAGTCATGTTGATGTTTGGGTAGCTTCCTCCTTTTTGTCTCATAGTCTGTGTCTGTAGGTTATCAGTGCTGGTAATTCTGGTGCTTGCTCAGTGGAGGGTGTAGAGAGTGAAAGAATTAATTAAGCACTGCCCTGCACATAGTAAGCACTTCGTTAATAGACTGCTTGCTGCTGCAGTGGTGAAGGCTGGCAAACCTCTTCCCATCTTCCTTTGGGTGTACGAACTCTGAAATCTCACTGCCCTCTATCCCATGAAAAGATGACGGTAGTGGTGTATAGCCTCAGCGTTAACTGCATCAGCCTGTTCTCTGTTTTCTCCACTCACTCTGTCCTGACACTGTGCAGGAAGTTGTCACTTGCAGGCACCCCCTTACACGTGCTGTGAGTTAGAACCTTACTCCTTCAGGCTTCAGGGGAAATGCAGCTCACTGCCTGGGTTTATCTAGGATTATGAGCTAAGAATGAGTTTTAATTTTAATGGTTTTAAAAAGCCAAAAGAATGGTAACATTTTTGTTTAGAATTTGAACATCATTTTGCACAAGCAAAGTACTACTGGCGTACAGCTGTGCACATTCCTGCTGCTGTCTATCTGGCTGCTGTTCCCTTTGTGAAGAGGATGTAACTGAGATGAGTCATCTGTGGAGACTGAAAGGTAGACTGCTAGGTACTTTACAGAAACTTTGCCCTCTTTCATCCTGGTGTGAAATAATGCCACATAATCTCACATTCTCCTATGATTTTGTCATGGAAAATACCTACCGTAGCATTCATTTCCTTTTTCCTCCAATTTTCCTTCTGCAGAATGACTTGCTCTTCTTATATTTTTGGTTGTGAGCCTAGCCTTTAATGGCTAAGCCATCTCTTAAGCCCAACTTGCTCTTCTTAATGTTGTTATTGTGTGTGGTAAAGAATATCAGTTCAGTGGTTTTCTGGGTACTCACATCTTGGTTATAAAGCATAGCTTGAAGATACCAGGAACATTCAGCTGCTTTCCTATGTATATTGTGACTGGAAATAATGGTTTTTCCTATCATAGAATGTGGAAATTGCAAGTGAGCTCAAGGTTATCTAGTTGGACTTTCTGACACTGGAGAGGAGGAAACAGGCACCAAGAAGTGACATGAGTGAGCCGCTGTAACAGGGATGTGCCATCTGTCGAATCAGGGCCAGTGTTTATTTCTAGTTCTGACTCCATTCTGCTCATGCTTTGTCAGTTCCCTGTCCTCTAAATCAGGTGTCAAGGCCAGCTTATGGATAGATGTGAAGCCTTGTAGACCCAGCCCAATGAGGTTGTATCTGCAGGCTGTGCTCATGCCGAAGGTGCACCGTCTTTTGTCTCTTCCCAAGTCTGCTACAGGGTTTGATAGAAAACTGTAGGACAAAAAGATTGAAATAATACTGTCATTGGATTCATTTATTCACTTCTCTGTACTCTGTGTGGCTGAGTATGTTATGGGCACAGGAGTGTGCAATCTAAAAGGATGGAGCTCCATGGGAGGAGTTCTGTGTGTACAGGAAACAAACAAATAAAAAAAAAAACTCTCACTAGTAATTGGCATCCTTTTACTTCTTTGCTTATTTTTCTTCTAGGTCCCTTTAACCTGTAGGTAGAATATACAGCAAGCTCCTGACTGCACTTTGCAAGAAAAAATGGAAAAGAACTGGGTTTTTGTGTTACTTTTATTATAAAATGACTCTGGAAGGAAAGCAGATTTTACCTTCTGGTTGTTTTTAAGTTTTCAGTGATTAGCATATATAAATTGTGTAAGTTACTGGGATTTGTTGTGTTCATCATTCATTCATTCATTCATTCATTCACACACATATACTTTTCACTTTTTAAGGCATTTATCTTGACTCACATAGGGAATCTAAGTTGTGTTTTCCTATTACTGGGACACTGGTTGATATATTGAGTTAGGGAAAATATTTTAGTAATGTTACCTGCTTGATAGGGTGATATTATTCATTGGCCTTCTGCTGTGATTTGCTTCTATTCTCCCACTTCTTGTTTTTTTTTTTAATTTAATTTATATTTCTCTTATGTGTATGGGGTGTTTTTTGTTTTGTTTTGTTTTCCTGCATGTATGCCTGTGTCTGTTGCCTGAAGAGGCTAGAAGAGGGCATTGGATCCCCTGGAGCTGGAATTATGATGGTTGTGAGCCCCCTTGTGGGTACTGGGATTTGAACCTGGGTTGTGTGGAAGAGCAGCTAGTGCTCTTAACTGCTGAGCCTTTTCTCTAGCCCATCCATTTCTTGGTTTTTTTAAACCTATGCCTTTCTCTGAGTTTGATTCTCTGATTTTATTTATTTTTTTAAACCACTTTCATTCCTTTCCTCTTAGATTCCCTTTAAACTTTGAAGCTCAATTTAATATTCTTTGCATACAATACCTTCCTTAAAAATATGTTATATTAAAATGCTATGTGTTAATTGGGAATTTCCAATGCATCCAATTAATTCATTCCCTCATTTGAGGATCTTTGAAATCTCAATATACATGACATGAATCCTTTATATCTAAACTCAGCTTCATATTCTCACCCCTGAGTCTCACATTCGAGCTTGCTTTGAGGAGAAATTTGTACTTTTTAGGGGTCACTATGATATCTAGTGATAAAGGAGTCATTCGGACTAGAGATGGGCCTTATGTGCAGGAAACATAGATTAGATCAGATTGTAAGAGTCTTGGAATTGAGATGAGACTTCATTCTCCTGACCAAAGATTTGCTTTTTTCCCTAGCTATAATGAGGTTCAACTAATTGGTCTAATTTTTAAAACAGAAGATTAATAGATAGAGAAGAGAGTTGAGCTCTTGATTGGAGAATGATGACAGTGAAAGCATCATAGTGAGAGTGCATAGGAGAAGATAAAGCCTAGATTTGTTATATCTGAAATTTCATTATATTGATATCTTGGAACAGAGTTAGAACATTACCACCAGGCTCTTCCTGCTGTGTGCTCTCTGTGTCCTACAAAGGTGAGCCTCTAACTCTTTGTGTATGAACAGAATTTGTTAGCTTGGCTGCATTATTGAGAAGATGAAGTCAGGATAATATATGAAGTCGTAGATATACTTGTGTTGTGATGTTGTCCACAGAGGCTGAGGTGCTGTCCTCTCTACAGGGAAAGTGGAACTATTGATGTATCTGTCCTCCTTACTGGTGGAAGACAGTGCTTTTCAAAAATAGGCCTAATTTAGATTATGTCAGGCAAGCATTTTGAATTACACCTTTCAGTATTCTAATATGACTCTGGTTTTGCAGTGGAGGGTGGTGTCCACATGGGTTATTGTCGTTTATCAAGATTTCATCAGAGCCTGTGCATTGCAGGGTCTCTTCGCAAGCATTTCTTCTGTTTCCATGCTGCTGATAGTGTCCCTGTGACATTCAGTGAGAGAGCAGTTCTTATTCTGAAGAAAACTTTTCTTTGACCTTTCTGCACATGGGTGAAGCAGACCTTTGAGGAGGCTGATAAGAATGGCGATGGCTTATTGAATATTGAAGAGATTCATCAGTTGATGCATAAACTAAATGTCAATCTGCCCCGAAGAAAAGTCAGGCAAATGTTTCAGGTATGTGTTCACCTTTTGTAAAATACAGCAGTTACTGATGTAATCAGGCATATTACAATCTTTTATTTTGTTAGAAATGGTTCTGTACTGTTTTCTTTTTTCTTTGATAAAGAGAGGCATTGTGTTTCATCAAAGGAAAAATCTTCATAAACTCAAGAAGCATTCCGTTTCATCCCCTTGAATACTTCTTTGCTGTTGCTGTTTCCGAAGAGCAATTATAAGCACTTTTTCTGACATTTGATTAGGGGCGTGAACTTGATCAAGCCCTTTGGAGAGGACGAAAATGCTTCGTCTGCCTGCCAAAGGGTTGGGGTTGGGGCTGTTGGCAAGTCCAAATAAAGAGCAAGCTATAGGAGAAAAACAGCACTGTCAGGGGCGCCAGGAGTTTAAGGTTGAAAACCCATGAGGCTTGGAAATGCTATGGAAGACAGAGGCTGGCTTCCTTCTCTGACTCCTTAAGGTGGTGCTGCTTAGGGGACACTCCACTTTAGGGATGGTTTGTTCTGGCGGTATTTTTCCACTGCACTAGAGAACAACATGAGCAAAAAGGAAAAGAGGAAGGAGTGAAATACAGGAAAGCTAGAAAATGTTTATGTCCGATATCTTATGGGCTCAGAGTGAATTCATCAGTCAAATTCATTTATTTAATAGTTACTGTTTAAAGTTAGCATTTATGACAAGTTTCATTATGGCATTTTCATACATACTTTGGTTGATTTTCTTCCCTTTTCTACCTCCAATCACACACTTGTACCCTTGTGCCCCTAAGTAGTTTCTTCTCTGTGTCCATATCATTCTGTATACTGTGAGACAGGATCATACTATGTGGCCAGGCTGGCTGAGAATTTACAGAACTCTGTCTGCCTCAGTCCCTTGCTCTGGGATAGTAAGCCACTGTGTATGTGGTGATGCAAGTTTAAAATAAAATTCAGAGTCCCTTTTTAGGGTCTTAGATTTTAAAATGTATTAAACCAGAAAGTGACCAGGCACATGGGCCTGCTATATGTGAAATATGTCCATCTGGGTCCCGAGTCCAGCAGGGGTCTGCAAAGATAGGCTTATAGTGGGAATGAAATGTTCAGGAGTTTCCATACAGGTTAAGTACCCTCATATGAAATTATCAAATCCAGAAGTATTTTTGGATTTAAGACTTTATTTTTGGGGTTTTGGGATATTTTAGAACTTGTAAGTAGAAATCTTAAATATATCTGTTAAATAAGATTCAACCCCCTCCCCACACACACCCACACACAAATAACAGGATCTTACTATGTAGTTCTGGCTGACCTGGAACTCACCATGTAGATCAGACTGACCTTGAATTCCCATAGAGTTGCTTGCCTCTGCCTCCTGAATGTTGACATTAAGGTGTGCATCATCATGCCTAACAGGATTAAACATGCTGATTTAAAATTGTAACAGGAAAGTGAGCAGTATATGCAATTTCTTAGATGCAAAGACTCTTCATTAGTCCCCATATTATCAAAAGCCAATTTATATCCATATTTAAATGACACCATAGGAGCTATCAGCATCATATAGAAGCTGTACAAGACTTAACTATGTTTTTGTGTGCTCTTAAGTAACCTAAAGTTAGCATTGAGCAAAAATTTTCTTAAAAATTTGGAATGCTTCACACTAATTTGCATGTTGTCTTTGCTCAGAGGCCATGCTAATCTTCTGTATTGTTCCATTTTTAGCATGTGCCACTGAAGCAAACATGAGCAATAAGCAAAATTGTCATGAGCATTTCGACTTTCAAAGCTATATTTAAGTCTATTTAACAGCAGAGTGTTCTTTCCAAAACCCAAGGCTTCAAAATGCCACTCATTTCCTGCCGGTTTTGGTTTGGTTGCTATTGTGTTCACTGTGAATGAAGGTGATCTTGTAAATGCTCTGGTTGCTCAGCATGCTTCCCTGGCAGTTTAATGGTGAATTTAGCCAATCTTAAGATCCAAGGTGAACAGTTCTTGTGCAATACTTATTAGTGACAAATAATTTAAAATAAACATCTACCTGCATGAGCTGCTTGGACTTTTTCTTGGACACAAAGCTGGATGGTACCACTGCTCCAGTGGCCATAAGAGCCTGAAGCCACTGTGAGTCATCAGAGAGATTGTCTTAGGGGAGGAATTACATTTCCTAAGATATGCCAGTTCTGAAGCAAGTGAGAGACAAGTATCTATGCTGTGCATTGAGTACTGCCTCTCCCTTGACCTTTATCTGTTGTGCTCAAGGTACCTTTTTGACTGGTTTCCTCAAAGAGCAGCTGTTGATTTCCTTGCTTACTTTTAAAGATAGGGATTTAAAATAAATATTGCTTTCTGGTTTTGCTTATAGTTTCCTTTGGCAGGTCTCCAACTAGTCATCTTCTGCCTCATCCTCCGGAATGCTGGTATTACTGGCAGTTCAGATTTTGTTTCCTAACAACACACTATAAGTTAGCTTCAAGCTTTGCTTTAAAGGTTTAATTATATCATTAATGTTTTTACTATTTGCTTGTCTGTAATTTTTATTTCTGATGCTGGGATTGATGCAGGGCTGTCATACAAATTTGGGCTTAATTAAAAAAATGTGTTTTGTCTGCATGCATGTAAGGGCACCATACATGTACAGTACTGAAGGAAGCCAGAAGATGGCCTTGCATCTCCTGGAACCAGAGTTACAAATAGTGGTGCACTGCCATGTAGGTGCTTAGGACTGAACCTGGGTCCTCTGCAAGAGCAGCCAGTGCTGTGCTCATAACTGCTGAGCCATCTCTCCAGCCTCCATGTCATACAGATTTGAGTTAGAGTTGTTCACTTTGAAGTGTTTACTTTCTCATTTAGAAACATTATTTCTGCTAATTTATAGAGGTATTAAATTGGTTTGTCTAACATTGATTATAATTTGTTGAAACTTTCTTGATTGTCTAACAATTTTTTATAATATTCCATGTGTGCTTAACAATGTATTTTTGTGATTTATGTGCTGGCCCTTTTTTATAGTAAATGTTAACTTTCTTGTTCTGAATTCACTCACTATTTCCAGTTCTTACCGCCTTTCTCTACCTTGTTCAGGAAGCTGACACAGATGAGAATCAGGGAACCTTGACATTTGAAGAATTCTGTGTTTTTTACAAAATGATGTCTTTGAGACGAGACCTTTATTTGCTGCTCTTGAGCTACAGTGACAAGAAAGACCACCTGACAGTGGAGGAGCTGGCTCAGTTTTTGAAGGTGGAACAAAAGGTATCTTTAGACTGTGGAATGGTTTGTTCACTCTTGTGCTTGAGAGGTGCAGGTATCTTTGGGGTATTTTTGGTTTAGGTATATGCTTAAATGCAGAATATACTGGTAAATAGCACAAGCTATCAGAATCATACCAATGGATCATTTAAATCATCTATGTAGAAGCTCTTCAGGAAAGTGCTAAGCTGAAACCTAGCATATATAACTTTTTATCTTGTCTATGTTGAATATGGATGTGTGTATTTTTTTGCAAAGAAATGAAAGTTAACTCATTTCATTTTAGACTTACTGGTAATATTTTATTTGTATTGTAAGGTGTTAGTAACAATATAAATTTGTATTGATTTGTGTTAATATAAGTTAATATTAGCAAAATATAAATTGATATTTAACTCATAATAACGAGGTTTTTTTAAACTATGATGTAATTCTTAGGTCACACTATGAACACTGGTAATTCAGATAGGAAATTGGCATCTAATCATGTGCAAAGGTTAGCAAATTAGGCCTTGCCTAGAGTAGGAATTCCTAAATCTACTTAAAGGAAAACACTAGATTTTTAATACAATACAGGCTGATTTATGTTAAATAAGGTTAATTTTTTATATGTCTGTTTTATAGTTCTTTAAACTCCATTTCTTAGTACAGTAGAGAAATAAATGGTTTCTTGCATAAGTCTCCAACACAGGTGGACACTCAGATTTGTGACATTTCAGGTTAATTCGTTGCCATGGATGAACTCAATGTACATTTCTGAGACTGTGCTAAGTTTGGAGAATGTGCAAAATATACCCTTAGAGATCTTGAAATGAAGAGACATTTCTTGATATTTTATAGTTTTCAGAGTCTATGATCAAATTAAAGAATGCTACGAAGTAAAGCAACACGCTTTGTTTTTATTGTGTTGAGACAGGGTTCTTGTATGGCTGAGGGTACCTGGAACTCCTGTTGCTTCCCAACTGTTTGCTGAGCTGTGGTAGAATAGGCATGCAATATACTCCCAGAAAAGCAACATACATTTTAAGGTTTTCCCTTCTTAAGCTTAAATAACTAATTATGAATTAAGAAAATGGTGTTGTATTGTTTTCCTGAATTGTTGCTTCCTTTAAAAGTACCTTTGAGGGGCTGGGGAGATTATGAGCACTGGCTGCTTTTCCAGAGGACCAGAGTTTGATTCCCCGCACTCACATTGGGTTGCTCACACCACCTGTAACTACAGCTCCAGGGATCTGACACCTCTGGACTCCATGGGCAGCAGCACTCACTTGCACATAGGCACACACATATAATTTTTAAAAAAAAATATGATTGAGTAGGGGGGTGGAGAGAATGCTTTGCTATTAAATGAGTTTACTGTTCTTACAGAGGAACTGAATTCAGTTGGTAACAGCCATATCAGAAGGCTTGACACTGACTGTTATTCCAGCTCCAGGGGATCCAACATCCTCTTCTAGCCTCTATGGGCACTTACACACATGGGCAAAGACACACATATACACATAAATAATCTTTTGAAAAAAAGTATTTTTGTGAGCTGGTGGAATGGCTCAGCAGGTTACGTTGCTTTCTACTAGCCCAAGTTTAATTGACAGATGACCCAAGTATACCAGAACCCACGTGATGGAAGGAGAGAACTTCCTCCCACAAGTTGTCCTCTGACTACCACCTGTGCAGCATGGTCTGTAATACGTTTTCTGTATCTTAATACTAGATTTCTCTGCCGATGCAATCAGCCAGATCAAACCAAACTGAAAAAGTAAAAGAACAGGTATATTTGAGCAAAGCAACTCCGAGGTGAGTTCTACAGTTCTAGAGATTGAGGCAGGAGAAGTCAGGCAACGAACTAAAGCAGGGAGCTTTTATAACCTGTTGGCTAGGGGTGATGACGTGTCCACCATAGGCTGGGTTTGTGCCCAAGTATGGTCAAAATTTGAGCACTTTAGGTGGGGTCTTGAGCATCTGGCAAACTTCAGGGGGGGGAGCTGCCATAGCTGCCAAGAATTCGGGACTGGGCTTTTTGGCACCTTTTCTTTCTTGGAGATTCTTTGAGAGGGTAGGGTTTTGAGGAGAGGAATGGGGCTTACCAGGTCAAGCATGAGTGAGCTGGAGTTTCCAGAAGAACAGTCTGCATGTATCCATCTGTCTTAGTTAGGGTTACTATTGCTGTGATGAGACACCATGGCCAAAAGCAACTTGGGGGAGGAATGGTTTTGTCACTCATGTTTCCTTATAAAAGTTCATCATCATTGAAAGCAATGGGGCAGGAACTAACGGAGGACGATTACCTGGAGGCAGGAGCTGATGCAGAGGCCACGGAGGAGTGCTTCTTACTGACTTGCTCCTCATGCTTTGCTTAGCCTGCTTTCTTGTAGCACCCAGGACCACCATCCCAGTGGTGTCCCTACCCACAATAGGCTGGGACCTCCTATTGTGTGCGCTCAAAGATGATCCATAGGCCATAATACTAAGATTTCTTTATTCAGATAAACAACACCCCAAACGCAAGCCAGAGCGTGCCAGGTGCTGTAAACTAGCGTGGCCAGAGAGAAGGGAAGGTCCATGTGTTTGCGGCCTCTTAAGAATTGCCCCCCCTTCGACCTCCCCTGACCACGCCCTCACAGGTGTGGCCAGGCACACCTGTAGGGGCTACTAAGGGTCGGGGCTACAGTGTCTCCCTACACCCTCCCTCATCAATCACTAATTAAGAAAATACCCTACAGACTTGCCTGCCCACAGCTGGATCTTTAAAGGCTTTTTCTAGGTTGAGGTTCTCTCATCTCAGATGACTAGCTTGTGCCAAGGTGACATAAAACTGGCCAGCACACTAAACATATGAAATAAATAAAAAAATGAATAAATGTAAGAAAATGCCTCTGTTAAGATACTAATGCATTGCTAATATAGATGCAATCATTCTCTTAGTTTTGGTACTAATTTGAATTAAAATTTTATTACTCTCAATGTGTGCATGATGTGTGTATGTATAGACATGAGCCAGAGGAAAATATTTTGGAGGTTGTTCTCTTCTTTCGTCTTTACCTGGGTCCCAACTAGGTTTGCATGGCAAGCATCTTTACCCATAGAGCCATTTTGATGTACCCTAAGTTAAATTTTTGAAGTGACTTTATTTATTTCAGTTGTCTGTGGGAGGGAGAGAGGGTTGTACATCTGAGGTGAACTTGTTCCAGTGTTCCAATCTTATCCTTTCTTTTTTCTTTTCTTTCTTTCTTTCTTTCTTTCTTTCTTTTCTTCTTTTTTTTGTTTTTTTTTTTTTTTTTTTTTTTTTTTTTTTTTTTTTTTTTTAAGACAGGGTTTCTCTGTGTAGCTTTGAGCCTATCCTGCCACTCACTCTGTGGACCAGGCTGTTCTCAAACTCACAGAGATCCGCCTGCCTCACAAGTGCTGGAATTAAAGGCGTGCACCACCAACGCCCGGCCTCAGTGTTCCAAATCTTGAAACTTCCTTTAATTTTCTCCTGTTTAAGGCAGAAAAAAATTATCACTTTTACTTTCCATAGCCCCAAATTTGTCTGATGTTCTTAACCTGAGCTGCCTAGTGCAGGAAAGTCTCACTGATTTAGAGGTCCTCTGACTGAGCTGGACAGGTATTGTTTAGGACAGCTAAGTGCAATTTTTGAATTACATTTTATGGGTAGATGAATTGGTTAATTGGCTTTAGAATGAGGAAAAGCAGCAAAAATTTGGCAAATGAAGTCCACTCATGTTTTCTCTGTATAATTTCCTAACCACTCAGCCTCAGTGTTAACTGTTTTCATTATAATGCTGTATAAAAGATTGTTTTCAGTTTGTAAAGAATAAAGCAACAAGAAAATCTTTATTTTTGTGCTAATGTAGACTTATAGAATGTCATCTTAGCATTTATTTGATTGACATTTCTTTGTAGTAGAGAAAACCATTATTTCCCATGCATTTGCTTTTTATGGATCTAAGTACTGCGTGCTGATTGTGCCACAGAAGTTTCACCATTTGTTTACTTTTTAATTTTATTGCTCTTAATTTTGTTTTAAAGCCTCTATACAACAGAAAATTTGCCCATATGAAGTCTTTCATGTTTTTCTCTTGTTCTACTTTGGGGGATGTGTGTCTCTAAGATGGAATAAGAGAGAAAAGACACAGATAAACTGATAAGGAACCAACAGAGGTGTTCCTTGACCAGTTTCATGGGGAAATTCATCTCGTTTAAATGCCAAGAGAACCATCTTGAGCACAGCCCATTAGCTGTCACTTATCCTATTCTTTATTTAAGCCAGTTAGCACTTTATTTATTGTGAATGGACTGCTGCTACTACTACTACTACTACTATTATTATTGTTGTTATTATTATTAGACTATGCAGTATGTGGTAGGATAGGGCTAAAAAGATCTGGAAATACACCTTGCTTTGACTTGATCACATTTACCTCTGTATTAGTTGCTTTTCTATTGTTCTGATAAAATACCATGCCCACAGCAACTTACAAAAGAGAGAATTTAATTGGGCTTATGGGTTCCAGAGAGTCAGAATCTATGATGACTGAGAAATAGCTGAGCACTCACATCTTAAACCTCAAGCAGGAGGTAGAGAGAGCAAACTGAAAATGAGCCATTTGAAACATCAGAGCCTGCTACCAGTGACAGACCTCCTAATCCTTTCCAAATGGGTCCACCACCTGGAGCCCAAATACTCAAACATATGAGACTTTGGGGTCCATTCTCATTCAAACCACCAAACCCTCTCATTCTCAAATCTGTGAGTCATTTAAAGTGCTTTTGTTAGCCATATTGCCCTGGCAGAATTACTGTAAGAATGGAAATAGTTGTTTTTTAGTTAATTTCTTCTATTAATTGTTCAATAAATGGTCATGTTCACTTAATTATACAGATTTGATCATTTACTAGGAACTTGTGTAGGATTACAAGCGATCAGGTATCCAAAACTGTACTATATAAAACTGTTTTATAATTCTATAGAGAATAGTTTTTTTCTTTATTCTTTGTAC